TTTCTTTAAAGTCAAAACTAACGCTAATATATTCACATAAAGTGTAACAGGTAAAAATAGTCTTTATGTCATTGGCTCTTTATTATCTGTACTAATTGTTACCAGCATGGCCTATTCCAGTCTTTAGAAGTCTATTTTAGAAAGAGGCATAGGAACACTTGTGAAATAATAAAGACTATCAGCAACATACTGAGGTACGGACATGGACTGTTTCATTAAATAGAAGAGAAGCAGCGTTTCTTGTAATAAAACTTGTATAGCTTCACTGGAGTAATGTAAGCTAAAAATTGTTTACCTCCTTTTAAATTAAGTAAATGAGAATTCCAGTATTAAAATCTACCATTAAATATGAGATAAAATTGGTTTATTGTCCTCTGAGAATTGTAAATCAGCTAAGAATTTACAAAACAGCATAAAAATTATTTCTTTTCCATAGATTTTTGTAATTACTGATAATATATAAAAATGTTAAATATCAAAGTAATATTTCACCTTTTGTTGTGTAATTGTAAACCTAGTAATTAGTAACTTTAATTTTAAAGTAATATAGATTGTGATAAGCAGCATATATCTATCTGTCAGAATCATTTGTTTGGCAGATGACACACTGATACACATGTTGAAGGATTCTTACAATTTCCTTAAGGCTTATTTTTTCTTACATTACAAATGTTTCTGTTGAAGGTCCTGGGATTTGTAAAACAATTAGTGAAATTCATTTTTTAATGATTCTAAAATTATGTTTAATATCGCTAAATTTATCATAAAATATTTAGGCTAAATAAGCTGTTGTTTATAATACAATTCAGCATGCATCATTTTGACATGTTTGATCTAAGTTTTGATCTAAGTTTTGATCTAAGTTTTGAAAGCAGTAAAAGGCTGTATTTTATACTTGTGGCAAGTAAAATATTAATACAAGAGATTACGTATATCTTAGATTAGATATATTATTTGCACATATTGAGTATATCATGTAACATTAAAATGATTTCCATACTATTGAGGATTTATAATTTATCAATAATGTTCTGCCTTGTGTTAATTATTTTATGTACTTTTTAAATTCTACACATGTGAACCAAGAGCAGATAGGACTAAGAGTGTTGTCCTGGATTTTCATTTAAAGTTTCGGTATTAGTTACATGCATCTTGCGTATGAGTATTATAAGGCTACTAGGGGAAGGGATAAAGGTATATTGGTTTATGGTAGACTGTTTTACCCGTGGGTATTTTAAAGATTATTTTAGAGGAAAATTTTACCTGATGTGTGTACTGTCCGTGGGACGTGCTGTCCCTTTTTTTTTTTTTTTTTTTTTTTAAAACTGGGAATGGAATCCAGGACCTTGCAATTGCCAGGAAAGCACTTATGCTACTGAGCTATATTCCCAGCCCTTTTCTGCTGTCAAATCTGACTCATTGTTCAGTTTAGCAAGAATTAGTCTTCCAGTACCACCATGTCATAAAACTCAAGATACTTAGAGCAAGGGTCTTGCCTACAATTTAGCAGCAATCATTCCAAAAATTAAAAAAAAAAAAAATTTAAGTTTTTCAGTAGAAATAGACTTTCTACAAACTAAACAGATCAAAGTCAGTTAGTACTTTTAACCAGAAGGACAGATTTGAGATTATCTTTAAGGATCTGGCCTTATAGAAAACTTATGTTTCATAGGCCAGAAGAATTAATTTCTGTGTAGAGGTTAGTAAACGCATGGTGATAATAGTTCATGTATGCAGGAGCCTACTTATAGTAGTCATTGAGATGAAGAAAAGGATGTGTTAAGAAAGCCTCAGTTTTTTAGTAGTAACATACATTTATGATTTTGTGTAGTGTAAACCCTTTGGCTCTGTTGTGCTCCGTTTATGAATTAAATTTGCTAATCATACTATACAGTAAAGTTCTAGAAATTACTGAGGAGCATTATTTAATACTTTTGATTTAGATAACTGTTGCATGTATTTCATGAGTTTTGTATATAATCTTCAAATAGGCACATAGTGTATTTATAGTTGCAGAGTACTTTGATACTGATCTCACTAATCTTTGCCAGAATTAAGTGAATTACTTCCACATAATAGAATTAGACTTTAAAGTCAAATGTGTTTCTGCTAGAATTTTCAGTTTTCTCTATCCTTCATTTCATTGTAGGTGTCAATATATTTACTATTTTAAAATGCTATGGGGTAGACGGGGATATGGCTGTGCCGGACAGCACCTGCCCAGCAAGCACAAGGTCCTGAGTTCGATTCCCAGTACCAAAAAAACTAAAAATAAATAAAGTGCTGTGATGCCGGGGATATAACTCAGTGACACACCTGCCTGGCAAGTGCAAAGTCCTGAGTTTGATTCCTGATACCAAACAAAAAAGCTATGATTAGTTTCTGCTCAAGTTATTTGAATAAGCTATTTCTTGCTTGTGTAAATCTGAAGTTTTGTGAAATACCATTTTCAGTAGTTTATTTACCATCCTACATAGTTTACCATGAATAGTGTCTTTGGAAAAGAAAAAATGTTTTCTCATTTTCTCTTCTGGTCAAGAACAAGCAGCACATGTACACACATGTATATATGTGTGTTGTTTTATTACGTTTAATTAAAAATTTTGACCTTCTTACAAGCCTTTAATCATATTGACTTTTTGTTTCTTTTTTGTTTTTGAGACAAGGTCTCATTGTGTAGTCCAGCTGGCCTTGAATTCACTGTGTATCTCAGGCTGGCCTCAAGCTCATGGCTTGAGCTCCTACTGCTTCAGCCTCCTGAGTGCTGGGATTACAGGCATGTGCCACCATGCCCAGCTAATCATACTGTTAGTAATAAAACATTTTAAGTTAAATTGTTAAAGTATGTATGTTCTTTTTTTGAGATACTAATTTGGTTTAGAGAGAAGTTGGACAAAAAAGAACTATTTTGTTAGCTATTTCCATTAAATTATCAACTAGGAGATAAAGAAAACCAGAAATGCTAATGTAATTTAAGATTAATGAACTTCAAGAGTGAAACAAAAATGTTTAGGCCAATGATGGCAAAGCTATGGCATGCATGCCATGATGGACTGTTGATGTCATTGAAATCTCTAAAAGATTTGCCGTCACAGCTGTTTAGAAGATTGCTATTTGTTCCAGATCAAGATTTTCCTTGGTTAAAAATATACCAAATATATATGTGTCTACTTATGTATTATGTATTTGTATTGATATGTGTCTTTCTAATGGTGAGTTTTCCTGGAATTTTTCTAACCTCATTGGAAGCTTGATCTGTAGTAATAAATGCCAATAAATATGCTTCCACAGGATGGCAGTGTGGTAGCATTTTCATGATGTAGTGATGATTCACAACATTATTGGTTTTGTGCATTTTCTTAGTACTCAACACTTCAGTGCTTTAATATTCTGTGTTAAAAAGTGAGAAAAGGAGGTTAACATGGATGAGTATAAAGTTGCAGCAGATGGGAATAGCAGTTTGGTCAGGGTTCCTAAAGATTCGTGGGAGAGAGAATTGATACAAGAAGATTGGTACATGGTTGAATTTTTGAGGCCTTCCAAGAGCTGTAGAAAGCAGTATAGATCTTACTTATTACCTCTTACCTCTTCCATGCCCATGTCAAGAAGAGAGGAGATCTCATGCCTCTTTGTTTTTATAAAGCCTTTCTCCCCACACCTGTGTACCACACTTGCTCCATTGTACTGTGGAGCTTTATTTACTACTACTATGGTTATACAACCATATGCCTTTGATTTTACCATCTTATTTAACTCTTGGAGGCTAGGTAGGATTAATCTTGGTAGAATTTTCTGTTGTTACAGTACTCTGATCATAATAGTTATATAAAATCTAGAGAAATGCATACACTTATTTTGCAGCTGAAGTTGTATTTATTTTTAAGAATTTAATTCACCATTTCTTATTAATATTTAGGTAAATCCAGTTTCTTGTTTCTGCATTTTAAAATGAAGATTCATAAATGGGATTTAAATTGAGGTGTTAAAATACATGTTATTTTATACATTCAAGAAGAAAACTGCTATTATTAAGCAAGATAAATTTATAGGTTTTGAGACTGACTGCCTGGCAAGCAACCCTAAATATTTTTTTAATGGAAATGCTTACCTATGCATTGCAAAATACTCTCAGATAGGAGATACACTTCCCTAGGTAAACATTAGGGATTAGTGATCCAGAGGTGACCTGGATCCAGTTATCTTAAAATGCTTATCTTTGACTAACTTCAGACATCCAAAATTGTTTCTTTGGCATATGTAGGTAGGTATAAAGGAGGCTAACTGAGAGAGGAAGTTACCAAGCTTAGTCTTCTCATTTTCAGTATGTCTAGAAATGAACTTGAGCTAGTGCCTAAAAGAGATCTTCATTTGTATTTACCAAACAGGTAATTGCTGGTATTTTTACAATGTCAGGTGATGGTCCCATTTGAAGAGAAAGAAAATATGAATATGATTGCAAGTGTGTTTTTGTATTCACATTTATTTTGTAGTGATTAATTCTGGAGAATATAATTACAAGGAAATAAATTGGATAAAGTCCTTACTTTTTTTTTTTTTAATGAAAAACAAACCAGTAATCCATAGAGGCAGATTCAGAAGAAAATTGAGACCAATTGTGCTTGGTATGGGGTTTCTTTTAGGAAAATGAAAATACTTGGATATTAGGGAGAGGTAGTGGTGGTGGTTGTACAATATTATGGCTATACTAAATGCCTCTAAATGTTCTCTTATAGAATGACTTTGTTATATGACTTTCATCTCAGGTTTTTTTTTTTAATATCAGGTTTTGTTTTCTAAGAGATTACTTTTTCATTCAGTTTGCATCATTTACTATAGTCAGTCTAAACACAAAATTAGAGTTTGACTATACCTATCAGTCTGTTTTTGATCATTTGCCAAAAGAATATTGAGCATGTGTATAAAATAGTAAATTTATGTAAGCATTATGTTTTATTTACTAGAAGTAGTAAATTCTCCTTTTTCCCATTTTGTCTTTATAGCATATAGCACTTTCTACATTGTGGGTTTAATATTATCCATGCAGATACCTTTTGTGGGATTTCAGCCAATTAGAACAAGTGAACACATGGCCGCTGCAGGTACGAAAAACATTTACTGTTTCTTCTAAAGAATATAGAAATGAAATACACACACACACACACACACACACACACACACGATTGGCAACCTTCCAAAGGAATAACAGTATGTATTTGTTTTTAGTTTTCATCTTCAAAGTAACAAATTTTTGGAAATTAATTAAAATTTGAATCGTAAATTATCAGTGAAATGTCCATGACTCATAGGTGGTCCATGACCCATTGGAAGTTCATTTGTGTACATTTATAACATTTTATGAGTACTCAGTTCAAGCTAAATACCCCTCATCTGAAGTGCTTGGGATCGAAAGTACTTCAGATTTCAAAGTTTTTCAGATTCTGGAATACTTGTAGACTACCAGTTGAGCATCTCTAATCCAAAAACCCAAGTCATATTAAGTGTTCAAAGAGTTTGAGATTTTTGATACTAGATTTCTGAATTAGGGATACTGGCTTGTATGCAAGAATATAACTTTCTGAGTGGCATTTCATTCTGTTTATTCTCAGTGATGCTTAAAGTTTCCCCATCCTTATCAAAAGTTAGCATATATTACCTATTATGTGGCTCTTCTGAATCTATAAAAAAAAATCTAACTTACATTCTTGAATTGATGCTGTCAATTTGCCAGCTAGTAATCTAAGATTCAGAAAGATGTGTATTTTCATTATACAATAATGTATAGCACCATCAAATATAGTCATCTGTTTTTGTGCAGATGGTTATTACATTTCCTGAAATCTAAATTTTTGAGAATTAATCATTTCTAAATGTAACTTTTTAAGATGAAATTTATTTCAAAATATTAATATGCCAGTTAGGGCTCTCATGTCTTTGTTTAAAATTTTGCATCTAATGCTTTTGTATATGTACTTTTTGACAAATATTACTAACTAGTACTGCTTTAGTTTTGTTTATCTTAGTACTTGCCTTTATATTTACTAATGTAAGGTTCATGGCTTAAAAGAAAAATTTTGTATGACTGGGGCCTTCACAAAAGAAATAGTGAAACTTTTAAAGTTTGTTGAAGAGAAGTATGATTAGGAAATTTATGTATAATGATAATAAACTAGAAAATTTAACAAGTTCTGTTTGTTCCAATTCTTTTTAGCCTAGTACCCTGTGTCTTTCTTGCCTCTGGATATAAGGAACATCCCTTTAGAATGAAGATCTTAGGACCTGCTTAGTAAAATTTGAGAGAATTCTTATTACCCACGTTAGGGTAGAACAAAAGGATAAGGTCAGATAGACCTTTCTGTTTCTGCTATTTCCTCAAACACGTTTCAGTGTTTTGGGATACCTTGTCTTCAACCCCAACACTCAATTATGTTTAAGTATGTAATTGAGTTCATATTCTTATTACCAATGGCAAATAGTAACTATGGATGAAGATTCTCCTGATTGAAGTCATTTGTTCTCTTTGGCAAAGAAATCTTAAAATTATTTCTTAAGGATGTTTTTATTACTTCCCCCACCTAGAAAACATGGTCCTCAAATATAGAGGGAAAGAAAGAAGGTGGTATTTTAAATAAGCTTCAGTCATTCAAATGAGATTTTTCTTAACTGCTACATCTATGGGGAGTCTGAATATTTTAGAAACAAATTTATAATAAGTTTTCTTTGGATATATTAATTAGTTAATTGTCATTTGACAAAGGAAAAGTTGGCTAGATCAAATAACTAGTCTTTGATGTGAATGATAGTAGATATTCCATGAAACTCAAGTAAAATTTTTAAAATGTTATTGGTGAAGTACTTTGCTGATTATATGACTTTTTTTTTAATTAGGTGTTTTTGCATTGCTACAAGCTTACGCTTTCTTGCAGTATCTGAGAGACCGATTAACAAAACAAGAATTCCAGACCCTTTTTTTTTTGGGTGTATCACTAGCTGCAGGTGCCGTGTTCCTTAGTGTCATCTATTTGACTTACACAGGTAGGAGCCATCACCTGTAAAATATGTGTCTTATCTCTAGATTATTTAAAAAGATAATTCTTTCACATATTTTTACAATTTTCATTTATGCTAGAAGATTAAATACTGTGTTTGAGTTACATACTAATAGTACTAAAACAACAAAACTTTTTACATGTTGAATAACATTACTACAAATTGTGATTTGTTTTTTTTTTTTTTTACACAGCTTAATTTTGTTGCTTCAGATTCTGATAAATTCACAGGCATAGTTTTGCTGTAAGAATAGATCCGAACTAAAAACTTCAGAGCTTCCAGTGATAAAACCTACTATGTGTTCAACCACATTCTTTCCCCCATTAGTTTAGTTTTGTTTTGTTGGCACCAGCAATCGAACTTATTGTCGCGTGCTTCCTAGGCAGGTACTTTATGCCACTGAGCTAAATCCCTGACCCTTTTCCCCTTTAGTTTTTGAGTAGTAGTTTATCAAATGAATTTCAGTTTGCTTCTAGATTCTAAATTACTCTAACACTGATTCCAGTCCTTACAAACAAGTCCGATTTTTTCTAAAAATTTCTGTCAAGTTAGTGTATCAGCCTTTCCTCATAACTCATGAAGGACTGACTGGAATAAAATCGTAAGTATTCAGAATCACCTTTGTAACTTGTCAGATGGGATTTGGAAAGCTGTATTAGATCATTTAGACATACCCACTTAAAAGTTTTTTTTAGTGTTTAATGTGATCTTTTACTGGTTGCCAAGATGTTTAAAAGGGGGTTGGGAAACTTCTACAATTTTATCTAGCTACTTGTGCTGATTTTCTCTAGAAACAAGTTCTCCCTGAATTACTGTTTTTATTTATCACTACTTTATTTTATCTGACTTCGAGCTGTGAAATATGTTGACATCCATAAAATTAGAATCCCTTGAACATTAAATTAATCTGTAACAATAAGACAATTTAAAATTTACAAAATAATTAAAAGGCAGATAATTTCCTCTGCATTTTTCCTTCCAAGGTTACATTGCACCATGGAGTGGCAGATTTTATTCATTATGGGACACTGGGTAAGTGCAGATGTGTTATTTTAGCCTCATAAAATACTCTTGTTTCTTCTGTTATGGTATTGTATTTCAGTCAGTACTTGAACTTCATTAAGTATGTAGAGTATCCTAGTTCAATAAATACTGAATTCCTTGTATTTTACTTTTCTTAGTAACACCTGTTTTGAGTGAACCTTTAGAATGAAACATTGTGAGTTGTATGTGTGTTGGTATGTGTATGTGTTATATATTTCTATTCTTTTTTTTTTTGGTACGGGGGATTGAACTCACGACCTTGTGCTTACAAAGAAGGCACTTAGGCTGCTGAGCTAAATTCCCAGCCATATATTTCTGTTCTGTGTGGCCAACTCATTTTAGTTTTGTATGTTAAAACATCTTAGTAACATTTGTGCAATTTGAAGATTAAAGGTTTTGTTCATTTCTTTTACTAATGTATATAAAAATTCACCTTTAATATTTAATACTTAATTTTTAGTGTTTAAGATTAGGTGTTGTGTTATAAATCTACATGCATAAAGATGAAAATTTAACCTCTAATACTATATTTTTTTAAAGTATGAATTACATCTCGTTGCATTTTTTTAGAGAGCTATTTAAAGTGAATTGATAATTGTTGGTTTTGAATTAGACAACTAGTTCAGTAAAACGTTATAAAATATTTCCCTAGAGATAAGAAAATACATGTTAATGATCATTTATTCCCATCCATTTCCTGCTGGTTCTATCTCCTTCCAGGTGACTCAATAAAAACTTACCACAATTACTGAATGAGCATGTCTTCTGATGTGATACAAGCCCCAGAAGGGGTCGTGTCCAGGTCTAATTAAAAGATACAAGCAAATTATGTAGGAATGACTGAAGTATACGTTGAGTTAATCCTGCGGGCTCCCTAGAGGATTTGAGGGAATCAGTTATAGAGTTACTCTGATTAGGCTACATACTAGGTTAACGTTAGCTATACCCATTCTTGCTTTCTCAACTTTCTAAACTTGCACTTCTTCGGAATTTCAGGATGTTTCATGAATAATTTCCATTTCCTTCACTTGCCTCCATACTAGCTCTTTGTCAAGCAAGGCATTGTGGCAATCTGATGTCTTACATGGTATTTTTAGCTGTCAATAAAAAATAGTGAAATTTATTGACACATTAGGAAATGAAGATTAACTACAGAATAAATTCCCATTTGCACTAAGATTTTGTATTAGAAATCAGAGCCAACAATAATAATTTGATGATTTTTCTTAATTTAACAAGGGGCATATCAGTTTTAGTTTTGCCAAAGTGGCCCAAACAGACTGATTTCCACTACACCTTATTGCCTTAGAATATATGCTTATAAACAAGAAGAGGTAGGAGTAGAAACTATCTCTATATATAATCCAAAAAACTTCTAAGAACTCCTTTTTTATCATTTAATTGTAAATAATAAATATTAATTTTTTTTAATATCAGGTATGCAAAAATACACATCCCAATTATTGCATCAGTGTCTGAACATCAGCCTACGACTTGGGTGTCTTTCTTCTTTGATCTACATATTCTTGTGTGTACCTTCCCAGCAGGCCTATGGTTCTGCATCAAAAATATCAATGATGAAAGAGTATTTGGTAAGAGGGATTTTCAAATAAATAGTTTGATTTGGAATGGTTATTTTTCATTTTGAGATTATTACTTCAAGGGGTTTGGCTGTATATATGTAAAATAAGCACCTTGTGTATAGGCATTTAGTCAAGAAAAGAAATGTTAACTGAATTTTCTTTGTATATATTCTAGTTACTGTTTTGATTTGGAGCTAATATATAAAGTTTACATTTGATTCATTGTGGTTTTTAAGTGGTTAATCAGTATACTATGTTATTGAGAACTGAAAATTAGAGTTTGTGATAGCATAATTTTGACTTAATTTTGTAAGTTAGATGTAATTGAGAAAAGATTTTCAGGGACATCCTTTGCCCCAGTTGCAGAATAGAGTATGTTTTCTAATACAGTAAGGATGACCTCTCAATAAACAGTCTGTCCATTAATATATTTGTGTGTGTTCCCAAATAGCAAGACTGAAAAAACAGGTATTTAAAAGGCAGCTGTTTACACAGTGTTATTTCTGTAACATTCAAGAATAAGGAAAGCTAAAGTAGTACTTACTAAGTCCAAATAGTGGTTGCCTTTTTATGGGGAAGAGGAAGTTACTGACTGATGATTGAGGCATGAGAAAGCATACAAGTATACTATATCTTTATCACATGTAGTAATTATATGGGACCATGTATTATATGCAAATCAATTGAGCTGTACATTGAAGAATATGGTACAATTTTAGGAAAAATTTTTAAAGTAGTTCGGATAGAAGAATTCTAATGACTTACTAACTTTGTAAAGTTTATAAGCTTCAATCAGAAATTTGTTTGAATCTTTTTTTTTTTGGTGCCAGGAATCAAACTCATGACCTCACTCTTGGCAGGCAGGCACTTATGTCGCTGAGCTCAACCCCTTGTTTGAAATTTTTGAAAAAGTTTTTTGACAGTGACTTTACATGTTATTCCATTGATTAATAACTTAAGTTCCTCCTCCTGTTTTTCCTTTATAGTAGGCATTAAGCTAAATATTGGCGCTGGCTTAATGACTCAGTGCACAAATCTATTTTTGTTTGTCAGCTATGAATTTTATAATATATAATACCATTGGCAAATTAAGCCTTAATTCGCTATAACTAAAATTTGAGCCATACTTCACTAAATTATTAGTGTATGATTTTTATTTAGTCAGCACTAGTTACAGTTTCTAAATATGACTGTTCATTAGTTGGTCAGTATTACCAATTTAGAAACAGGTTTTATGAGACATTTGTCTACTTTTAAATTTGTTTTAAACTGTGGGACTGAATGTCTAGTTCAGTTTTCTGTAGTTTTCTCTGGAGTACTATAAGAGAACTTGTCTTTGCAGTTGCTCTGTATGCAATCAGTGCTGTCTACTTTGCTGGAGTGATGGTGCGGCTGATGTTGACTCTGACTCCAGTCGTCTGTATACTGGCTGCAATTGCCTTCTCAAATGTTTTTGAGCACTACCTGGGGGATGACATGAAAAGGGAAAACCCACCTGTGGAGGATAGCAGTGACGAGGATGACAAAAGAAACCCAGGAAATTTGTATGATAAGGTGGGAGATTGAAACTAAAGCCGTTTAATATTATGTATTTTATTTTTTCCCCTACAGTAAGAACTGCACATGTTAAGAAATATGATTGTGATGTTTAGTTGTTTTTCAGCTCAGAGAAAGAGAATCAAATACAGTCAAAGAAAAATTCTCATTTTATTTTGGCCAGTTATTTGTTACCCTAAATATTTAAGCCTTGTTTGTGTCCTTTCATTTTGCAAGCAAAAAAATTGGTGCTCTGATAAATCATATAAGATTTTAAACCATATGGACAAGTGCTTATTCTTAAAGTCTGTATTTACTATAAATTTTTATTACCCTTCCCCGCACTGGTGATTGAACCAATGACTCTGAGCATACCACACAAGAGCTTTACCACCGAGTTATATCCCCAGCACTTTTTTATTTTACAACGGATGTCACTGAGTTGCCCAGGCTGGCCTCAAATTTGCAATCCTCCTGCCTCAGCCTCCCAAGTAGTAAGGATTACAGGTGTGTGTTAGTGAGCCTGGATCATTGTAAATTTTTTAAATGATAATCTGAACAATGTTTGAAAATGATATTTATTTTTTTTTTTAAATAGCCTCCAGTTTGTGAGCAACAGGTAGCTGGCCAATACAGTACAATTTTTTTTTGTTGTTACCGGGGATTAAATTCATGACCTAGCGCTTGCCAGGCAAGCGCTTATGCTGCTGAGCTAACTCCCTGGCCCAGTACAATTTATTTTTAACCTATAGTCTCTTGAGTAACAGAACAGGCTCATATGTAGTGCATGGGAGAAAAAGTATTCTAAGAATTAGATTGCTTATCTTTGATGACATTAAACCTCATTTTTATATTGACTAGATTTTTAAGTAATAGTAACCAGCGAAACCTCACGGTATAGGAATTAATGATATTCTTTTCTTACTATGAGATCAATACAATTCATAAAGATTTCTTTTAATGAAAAATACCTGCTTTTATGTTTGTAATTTTTATATTTTGTTTTTTGTCATCTTGCGATTTTTTAAAAATTAGCTTTGTAGCTTTCTGACAATGTTTATTTTGATGAGGTTTTTGTCGTATACGTATATAAATGTTTTTTTAATTTTTTAAAGATAATCTAAGTTTTAACAAGTCTATCTTAGAGTTTCAGATTTGGAAGGATGATTCTTGGTTTTGTGTTCTAGCTGGACATTGCCATTTTCAGGATGTAGGATTGAGATTTTATAAGAATTTTACATATTAACCAGGCATGGTGGCTCACGCCTGTAATCCCAGCACTCCGGAGGCTGAGTTGGGAGGATCGTAGCAAGTTCGAGACCGGCCTGGGCTACCGAGTGAGATCAAGGCCAGGCTGAAATGCATAGCAAGACCCAGTCTCAAAGTAGACAAAAAAAAAGAATTTACATATTCAACTTTATATTGTCAGAAATGAGACTATTGGATTATTGTTTTTGTTTTTAAGACACAAGGAAAAAAAAAACTAAGTTTGATCACAGCTTCCTACTAGAGATACTTTGCTCTGAGATCAGCTTCTGGATTGGATATATTCTGAGGAAACTTTCTGGTTTACATTTTACTTCAGAGCCTACTTTTATGAATTCTAGAAAGGTTTTCATCACCTTCAGAAGAATACCTGAAGTGGCACACACTTCGAGAATTAAATGGGTAGATAACATATCCCCCACTGTTCCCTATGGATGTCATGGTAAATGTGTCTCAGCTGTCCTTGTTCCTACAGGCTGGTAAGGTGCGTAAGCATGTGGCAGAGCAGGAAAAGCCAGAGGAGGGGCTAGGCCCCAACATCAAGAGCATCGTCACCATGCTCATGCTCATGCTGTTGATGATGTTTGCTGTGCACTGTACCTGGGTCACCAGCAATGCCTACTCCAGCCCCAGTGTGGTCCTGGCCTCCTACAACCATGACGGGTAAAAATGTACCATAGCAACTCAAACATTATATGTTACACATTTTTCTTTATCTCAAAAGACAACGATGTGTTATTGATGAGACTGTAAATTCGAGCCTTTTTATTTTTACCTCCTCCTTTTCTGGGGTATTGCTAGATAGGAGCTCAACCACTGAACTACCCCCCAGACTCAAAGCTGTATTGGTGTGGCCTCTTCCACTATCTTTGGTGGAATGAATGGTAATCATTGTATTTCATGCTGTTTTCCATAATACTTGGCATAGGTAATCATATACATAAGTTTTTCCTTCAAACATGCTCATGCTCATGGACATACATCATTATCACTACTATAAACCATTTTAGACATACAAATTGACCACTTCCTAAGCCTGTTGAATCAGAAACCAGGCTGTGGGACCCAACAGTCCGTAGTTTAACAGGCCTGTGTTAGTCTGTGGAGCTAAAACTTAATTGCTGTTTTATAAAGTGTCTTGCCTCTTACCCTCTTCTGTTCACATAGATTAGTGGATAAGCAGAATATTAGACCTATCTCAGAAATCTAGTGGATCAACATCAGCTTTTATACGAGATATATAGGTGACTTGTATGTATATTAATTTGAGAAGTACTTGTCTAGTTCTTCTCCTTTTTGCATTTTCCTTTGGTTTAGTACCTTAAGATTTTAAGTTACCCACTTCACATTTATAAAATTTAATTTAGAATAATGTGATTCTTTTCAGTACCAGGAATATTTTAGATGATTTTAGAGAAGCCTATTTCTGGCTAAGACAAAACACAGATGAACATGCTCGAGTGATGTCATGGTGGGATTATGGCTATCAGATAGCTGGAATGGCTAATAGAACTACATTGGTGGATAATAACACCTGGAATAATAGCCACATAGCACTGGTAAGGATTTGTGTTTTTTTTTTTTTAATAAAAAATCTTTACTACTTAGCAATCTGACTTTACATATAATTAAGTAGGAAAATGGACGAAAGTGCTGTCTGCTTGCTGAATTTTCAAAGTACTACATCGCACATGTATTCAATAAAATGACCTCAGAATGTGCTTATTTTTTAAGAGTGATACTTACATAAATATCACTCAGAGTTGTATTCTGACTATATTAGTAGATTTTGTTATAGCTTTCTCTTATTGGAGAATTAGGCAAAGTCTAAAGCTTTTTAAATGGTATTTTACATTATGAGAAAAAATAATTTGCAGGTACTTAGCAACTAAATTGTATTTTGTGGCTCTGCAAATTATGTTCATTTGGTCTGCTAAATGACTACATAAATTAAGATAATATTTCTCCTTGGTTAAAAGGTTTTTGAATGACTACATAGGTCTTAACAAAGTTGTTTCTATTTGTGTTTACAGTATAACTAATTTACAAGATGGATGCTTGGTTAAAATATTTGTTTCAGTAAAATCACAGGTCTCCCCTGGCCTGGGGTTGTGAGACATTGTCTCTTAAAACTTGCTTATGTTCATTTTTAAATACTAATTTCATAGAACATAATTATTAACAAAGTACTATAACATGTATTCTGGTTTTGACTTTCTATGCTATAAGTTGGTTGTAGTATATAAGCTATTTATAAATCACAAATGTTTTGAGTTCATAGAAAATCATTTCTATAAAAAATTCTTTGTAAGTCAAACTCGATGAGATAACTCCAGTAAAATTATACATTCACTTTATTTTATCCTGTAGGTAGGAAAAGCCATGTCTTCTAATGAAACAGCAGCCTATAAGATCATGAGGACTCTAGATGTAGATTATGTTTTGGTTATTTTTGGAGGCGTTATTGGCTATTCTGGTGATGATATCAACAAATTTCTCTGGATGGTTAGGATAGCTGAAGGGGAACATCCAAAAGACATTCGGGTAAGAAACTAGATAATCCCACATGTGTAAAAGATAGCTCACAATCTTCAAATAACTCTGTTATCTTGCTAATTCCATTGTATTTGTTTTTGCATTTCTGTCCTCCAGATTAGTCTTTTACCTTGAACTTTATTAAAGGTACTAGAAACATTTCCTAGGTTTGAAACTTCTGAAACTCATACATGATATAGTCATTTTACATCAGACTACATGCAGTACTATAATGTCATTAATTTTGGGTGTGTTACAGGCTATCCCTTTTAGATTTGTGTAGGTGTGTTCTACAGTGTTCCCATACAAAACGTTTGACATAGCCTCATGATTATATTTCCATTCTAGCCTGTGTTGCAACCCCTTGGCATGACTACTTGATTCTGCATCTTCATAGCCTCTCCATTCAGTTCTTTCTGTTTCCATGGCTTCTGGCCCTGCACTGACTCATGACCCTGAAAGAAGTCTCTAACCTTGAAATTTCTGTCTTTGTGTTAGTCTTGTTTCCTCTCCTAGTGCAGTAAGACATATGGTCATGACACTTTCTGGATTGAAAAAGGCTATGAGAGAAGTCCCTGGAACCAGACAGACATGAGTCAGAACTAAAACTTTGTCAACTTTGGGCTGTGGGAGGTTAGTGGAGGTCAATCAACATAAATGCTCTAAGCACCAGGTCTAGTTCTGGAATTATCCTGGTGGCCAAGGTCATCTCTATGGGCATATCAACAATAACACATTCTAGTGCTGTGTTGAAAATCTGTAGTGATTTTAGTAGGTGTAATCTTAGCATAGTGTCCAAAACAAAGTAATAATTTGTTGGTATGAAGTCCAATCTTAACCTGACACAAGCTCCATTTTCCTTCATTTTCCTTTGCTGATTTGTACTCTGCCAGTCTATTCTTTCCCTAGAAATTTACATGGGGTTTCTTTTCTTTATGCATCTGATATATGCTTTTACTGTTCCCTTTTTAAGAATGCCTTCCACATACTTGTCATCTCTCCTTTTCTGGTGCATGACATTTGTATTTATCATCAACTCACACACCCGTTTCGTAGTTGGATTGTATACTATCTCTCCTACTCATTTATGAGTTCCTAGAGGATGGGCATCCAAAATTATGCTGTACATGAGAAAGGCACAAAAGATTTGCTATGAAAGAAAAGAATCATTTGAGGAGATTATATGTATCTGTATCATGTGATGGAGCTAAAGCACAGATTTCCTGGACAAATATATTATGACATTTCCTTAGCTGTGGTGAATAAGCATTATTTCCTTATATCAAATGGATCCTCTAAAACTTAGTTCTCCCCATATGTGATTTCCATTTGTGAATTTGCTTTAGCAGTGTTAAAACTGTGACATGTGTTAAGACTTTCTAAATATATGCTTTGAACCCTTTTATATACAAAGGCTAAATCTGTGCTTTTAAAATTTCTCATTTTTATGAGATTAGACTAGAGGATAAATTCATGTGGTTCAAAAATAAAGTTTAAAAGGATTTGTGATAAAAGTTCACCTTACATAAAAGAGATCTCTGTAGTTATTGACATATATACTTACAAATTGCTGAGTATAGATTTTATAATATTCTCACTATAAGAAATATTCTCATATGTCAGTTTAGCTATTCCACAACGTCTACATATTTCAAATAATTTGTGCACCAAAATTTATACACTTTGTCAGTGTGAAAAATAGATTGAAAATCCCTGTAATCTCTATTATTTTTTACAATCCTTAGTTAAGCAGATAACTAAGGAACAAAAGTATGTACTGTGTTTACTTCCTAATGTGTCTCGAGTCTTTTTATGTTGAGACTATGAAGCACTTCATTCTTTTTTAAACTTTTGCAGTGTTTGTATACCAGATTTATTTAACATATCCTTATTTATATGGATGATTTCCAGTTTTTTTAATTTCAAAAAGTGGTGCAACTTTCCACATTCATTACTTTGCCACTCACTATGTATCAGAAGAATAAATTCCTAGAGAAGACATTTCTAAGTACAGAATTGTTCCTTGTAAAGGTTAATTGTAAACCCAATGAAAAATAGTACTGCATACTATTAATAGTTTTCTTTAAAAAATCCTGTATAACAAAAGGAGCTGATTTTAGAGTTCATATTGGAAAATTTAGGTAAAAATTGAAGAGTAGTAATGAAGATAAGGATAATTAAAACAGCTCTAACTGATAGTGAACCATGGTATCAGTATCATTTTTTAAATGTTATTAAGACCTTATACTGCAGTTTAAAACTCAAGGAATTAATTTTGGGGGTGAGGGATATGAATGAATATAGCCTTACAAAGATATCTCAAAATATGGTTGTTAAGGGGAAATAAAACCTGTAATACTGGATTTATTAAGTTGAAGCTGACATAGAATTTCTGATTTCTTTCTTGTAGGAAAGTGATTATTTCACCCCACAGGGAGAATTTCGTGTAGACAAAGCAGGATCCCCTACTTTGTTGAATTGCCTTATGTATAAAATGTCATATTACAGATTTGGAGAAATGCAGGTTAGTTAAAATTTTCTATAATCTTTATCAAAAATAATCTTTTTTTCCTAGAAAACAGGATGTGTTTAATGTGCTTTGTATAAAAAAAGTACTCAACTAAAGATTATTTTTTCCCATTAAATTTAGATATCTGAAATTTGTGTGAAAAATTAGGAAAAAATTTTAGATCAAGGACTTCTTTCCAAAGTATTTTTTAACAGTTTCAAATTCAGCCTTTGCTTGCCATCATCCTACCTTTTGACCTCATGATTTTGGAAAGCATTTGTTCCCAGGAGAAAGGTGTCTCACATAGGAAACTGATCCTAGGTAGGTCACTCTGCTGTCTTTTGCAGAAAAGCCTCAGAGCTGAATTATCAATTCATTCTGTGCTACGTCTCCATTATCACAAATAGCCAGAACTAAGTCGGAATTTCTTAGTAAATTACAATAATGTAGGGCAACCACTTAATGGACTGCAAAATGCAATAAGGCATTGTGATGAAAGAAGAAACAATGAACTTTATGTCATAGTATCTGTTTTAGATCAAGCTGTCAAGTCTTGTAAGTCCCAGACCATTTGCTTCCTCCCTAGACTTTTGTTTTTTTTCTTGTTTGTAAATAGTGGTGGTTGGACTGATGCCTAGACTTCGAGGGAAACCAGAACATGTCAATCCAAAATTCCCTTATGTGACAGAAAAATTATTCTTTGAACTAAGAGTAGTTAAGCAGCAGCAAATGAAGGACTTTTATATATATATATATATTTACTTTCCCATACTGCCTTACATTGGAAACCTAAAGCCACTTGCCTTTTCTCCTCAAACTTAATATTCTTGGTTGAACATGGTATATAGCCAGAGATCTAAGCCATTGTGTTGAGTTACTTTTCACCGATACTTTTCCTGTGTAATATGTGACCCATGTGTTAATAAACTTGTTTTTCTCTTGTAAATCTGTCCTTTGTTACAGCAGTCTATCTCAACTAAGAATTCATGAAAGAATTCAAGTTTTTCTTGTCAACTATTTTTAAAATTTTATAGTTCTTAGGTTGTAAGACTATACTACCAAATTAGTACTTTCAATACTGAAATCTCAGTGAAAATTAATCTTGTATTGCTTTCTGGTGAAATGGATACCCTAGAAAGCAGAGGAAAAATTATGTTTATTCTTACACTGTCACTGGGGATCAAGGTAATTTCAAGCTGAGGTTTGTTTGTATCCCAATTTGTGGAACAAATTTTTATCTTCTTATAAGATACAAGTATGGGTGAAATAAGCTAGAATACTCTGTTTTTAGAGAAGTTTTATATATCACTGTTTGCATGCTGAGTGTGTTGTTTCAAAGTAGATTTGCACAACTAGTTATTTACTTCATTATCCACCTGCAGTCACTGCTCGTAGTGTTACAAATAGAAAATTCTAGACTGATAATCTATATTTAAATTTTTATTTCAAAGGCCATTGCCTAGCTTCTGAACTCAAGCTAAGAAATAAGTACTTGACTATAAGGAGTTATTTAACAGTTTTTCTGGGACAAATGGATTAGTTTCTTTGTTCACTAATGATATTGAAGGATACTTCTTCCCTTAAGTTTATTCATGGTTTTGGTGCCTGCTGTACTCAAGAATGATATATAGTTAATAATAGATAACCAAGAATAATTTATTCACTGCCGAGGATAGGTTTCTTTTTACTTTTTTTTTTCTCTCTCTCTTTTTTTGGGTACTGGGGATCGAACTCATGACCTCACACTTATCAGACAAATGCTTGAGCCACTGTGCTAAATCCCTGGCCCTTGTTTTGTTTGTTTGTTTTGAATAGTTATATCTTCAAGTTAGCTTTTTATTACATGTTTGTTCAAAGATAATTCTGTAGAAGAAATTATTTTGGGGAGGGGTACCGGGAATAGAACTCAGGACCTTGCACTTGCCAGGCAGGCACTTGTGCCACTGACCTGTATCCCCAGGCAAATGGGTTTGTTTTTATAAGTTAACTTTACTTGGGGTAGTTTTGTGTTTCTACATAAATATACTGCACTCTGAGGGGAAAAAGTCTCAACCTCATCACACTCCCTCTAATTCTTCGTAAGTTCCCCACAGTTGACTTCCTTAGCTTTCTTCGTAGTTTCTTTCCCACAGTTGTACTGTGGATAAAATAATGTCATCAGGCTGGTGGAGGACACAGGTAAATTTTTAATAAATAAAAATGCTAGCAGTGTGTGCTGTAGGGGGAAAGGACAGGGTTCTGTTAAGGAAAACTAAAGAAAATTTGCCAATTACCAATCACGAAATAACATTTCTCTGAAGAGGTGGTATTTAGCTGAATCCAAATGATAAAAAGCCACAGTGCAACAGAACCGAATAAAAACCATATCAGGCAGAGAAAACATAGTTGTAAGGCAGGAAATTGTGTTATCTCCATATAGTATGAAAAGGTTTTGATGGATTTCATTTTGATATCATGGGTGTTTTAATGCCTGTACTGTCTGTCCTTTAAGAATTCTATGAAACTGTTACACAAATACATTTATTTTCTTTTCCGAATTTCTTCCTGTCTAGTGAGCAGTGTGTGAGAACTGATTAGTAAGATACATTACTCAGTTCTGTTCTTAATTTTAAAGAGAGGGAGTTTTACTCTAAAGAAGCATTTACTGTCTTCTACAATTGAATGTTTTCCAGTGCATTAACATCTAATATTGATGTCACTCTTGCAGCTGGATTTTCGTACTCCCCCAGGTTTTGACCGAACACGTAATGCTGAAATTGGAAATAAGGACATTAAATTTAAGCATTTAGAAGAAGCTTTTACATCAGAACATTGGCTTGTCAGGATATATAAAGTGAAAGCACCTGATAACCGGGAGACGTTAGATCACAAACCACGAGTCACCAACATTTTCCCAAAACAGAAGTATTTGTCAAAGAAGGTGAGTGCCAAGTGAAGTTATTGCCACAAGAGGATAACTCAAGGTGGTTGGTTTGTATGAGAAAGAATTACTAGAAACTACTATTAAATTTGTTTTCCAGATTTAAAAGACTGACTTATACAAAGTTAATGTCTAGCTAACTTACTGGAGAATTCTTTTCAAACAGCAGTTTGGTTATCTAGCAACAGCTTTTTTTAGATAGCCTGGAGGTTATCTGAGAACCAAATTTAAGATATTTCTAAAAACATTCTGGCTTCACTTTGTGCCATTTACATTCATAAGGTTTATTCATAAAGTATCTGTGACCATCATTTTCCAAACCTATGTGAAACTGAAAATGTCAGATGCTTATTGGAGTTGTGATTAGTTCCTCATCTTTTGGTCAAAGTAAATATATATTGAATCTCCATGTTCCATTCGTAGTATGATGTTACTATATTGAATAATAATAGGCTTTGTTGAGTCCTGAAGCATCAAGATAATTAATTTTCAATGTAATTATTATGACGAAGCATACAAGCAAAAGTTACCAGACTATTACAGTCCTGTTCTAAGAAATACTAAATAAAGTGAAATATTTTTATTGGGCTCATTATTGCTCATTTAATCCAAATAAAGCTTTGATCTTTACTATAAAAGTTGAGTAAAAATGAGTATTTGTGTAGGTCGCCCAGCTGTGGAAGATGGGAAATAAAATGAGCAGTAAAATATTAAGGCTGTATTATAAGGTACTATACTTATAATGCTCTTGATTATTAGACTGATTATCGTCTTAATTTTTGAAAAGACATTTAGATTCCATAGCTCTCATAAGTTATTTTAAAACACTAAGGCAACTACCTTATCCCTTTGTTACTTAAAATATGCACCATATATATTCAGAATATACCTTATTTCAAGTATACTATAAAGGTCCTTAATATTAACTATATGATATGTAAATATAAACTTTTTATGTGATTACTTTCTTTGCCAGATAAGAATTACTGGATCTAGACTAATATATTTAAAGTTGTCACATAGAACTGACACTCAGGTTAGTCATATCAAATTCACTTACCAGGTGTCTGTAGCTCAGATGACAAAGAAGTCAAATGACTCGTTTCTTACAAGCATTAGATAGGAGAAACTGATGAGTCCATACCAATATAGAAGTCAAAGCAAATGCTGCTGATCTAAAAGCTGTCCAAGTCTAGTTACAATTTTTTAAAGACCTGTTGAACTTTATATCTGATGACAGAGATTCCACAGGGAGTACATAATCTTAACCTGACTCTTTTGTCTTTCTATCCATCATTTCCCTTAAAATAAGCAATGTGAATAAATAAATAAAAGTTAAATCTATTATGTACTCAAAACACACATTCTGGTAGCCAGTAATATGTATTTTGAGTTTGTGTTCCATGGCTCTATATTCTATTTTATACTGATACTATAGAGCAGTGATGGCAAACCTTTTAGAGACAGAGTGCCCAAACTGCAACCCATAAGCCACTTATTTATTGCTACCTGCCAACACTGCAATTAAGCCTGATACTGAAGTTTTAGAAAAACAACTGTTATCCAGTGCTCAGCTGCTAGACTGACTTAGCTCACATGCTGACAGAGAGGGAGGGCTCTGTGTCCCTGCTGCAGCAGGCATGCCATAGCTTTGCTACTATTCTTGTAGAGGAATGCTTTTTGTTTACTTTTCTCTTACTAATCTGGTTTTGCCTTTAGAGGAGATGGAGTAGTTGAGGGACTAGAGATTTTAGCCCAGTGCTACAGAAAAGATTGGCATAATCACTGCCAATAATAGGGGGAAAATGCTGTATGTGTTTTATATGTGCATAGTGGGGGGCGCATTATAAGATCTCATAGAAAGGGCTTTATGTTAGGTATGTATAGATAATAACAAAGGAACCAAATTTTTTTGTGCGTGTGTCTTTTTGAGACAGTCTTACTATAGAGTTTAGGCTGGCCTTGAGGTCACTTTATGGTCCAGCTTGGTCTCAAACTCACTGTGATCCTTCTGTCTCAGCCTCTTGAGTGCTGGGATTATAGGCATGTGCCACCACACTCAGCTAAGGAACCAAATTCTTAACCTTTTTTTTTTTTTCAAAATGCTATCTAAAAATAAAATAAAATGCTATCCAGAGCTTTTTGCATTCAACTTAAGTTGATAATATAACATATGTACTTAACAAATTGATGGTAGCCAAATTTTGTAACCTTAAGAAGCGATTGCCTTTTGCCTTGTGTTGTATCTGTTAGAATAACCTATTTTGAAATGAATATTGGGAATATAAGGAACCAAATGTTATATTTACCCTCAGCTTCTAAAATACCCTCTTAGGAGTTGTGTTTGAGCCACATGTGGTGCTGTACACCTGTAATCCCAACAGTCAAAAGGCTCAGGCAGGAAAATCATTGTGAGTTCGAGATCAGCCAGGGCTACAAAATGATTCCAAGGCTAGCATGAACTGAACAGCAAGATCCTGTCTCAAAAAGATTTTTTAAAAAGTTTTGTTTAAATGCAAAAATTAAATTAAGTGGTCAGGTTTCTTCAGCCTAATTAACTCAGTGATTTGATGATGCATTGGTATATTTCACAAAAATAGCTGGGTTAGTCAGCATCTAAGCATGTGTCAGACTGAAGACATATGCCATGTGATTTAAACTGTAAGTTCTAACATAGCAAACATTCTTGCAATAATTTTTGTCAACACATTTGCAAAAATTAGATTATTCTTGCGCTATTATCCCCCCCTGCTCCTCCTTTTTGAGACAGAATCTTGCTAAATTTCTAAATTGCCAGGTTGCCAGGGTAGGTTTGGACTTGCAGTCCTGCTTTCACCTCCCACAGTGCTGGGATTACAGGCATGTGCCACCAGTCCTAGTTGGGAAGTTTGCTTCTTATACCAAAAGAAAGTTTGTTGAGAAGATTTTAGTAGTATGTTCAGTTATTAAGGTTTTTTTAAAAAAAAAATAGTTCTATTAAAAGAGCTATGAAACTCAGGAAATACTTTTTCATTTAAGTGCTTACTTTCCCTGATGATTATAAAATGTGCCATGTGATGTCTCAGTGTTGTAGATGGAGTCATCCTCATTTTGCAGATAAAAAATATTAGGGCTTCAAAAGTTACCGTGCTAAGTTATATTTCTGACACATAATTTTTGGAGACTAAACCAATAGCATCATTATCATTTTCTGATTTTTTTCTTCTAGTGTTATAGTCTATCATGCTTTAAAGTTTGAGTAAGTATTACAACTAAGCATTTAATGGCTCGGGAGATACGGATTCATTCCCTTGATGTGAGAGATGCATTTGAGGAATGTTGTGGTAATTGTGTCATTAAAACTAGGGCCTTGGTCCCGTTGATGTGAGTTTCTCAATATGCTCAGCCATAGGTGGGACGCACTGACAGGGAATCCAGTCAGAGAGAGGGCTAACACTTAGATACTTTCCTGTTAGAAACCTGCGCTAACACTGTGTGTTCTCTTTTCTTTTTAGACTACCAAAAGGAAGCGTGGCTACATTAAAAATAAGTTAGTTTTTAAGAAAGGCAAGAAAATATCTAAGAAGACTGTTTAAACACACTGTTCTGGTTCTTGACTTGAAGCAGTTGTCCTTGTGAGAACCGGTCTTTGCCTTTAGCTCATGTCATGTTTCACAGCAACAGAGGGTACAGAACTATCACTGGTCCAGGTTAATGTACACAGTTTTCCCGGCAGTGTCCGATTTTTAAAAATAAAATTGGTTTATTGAGAAGAACTGTTTCGATTTGTAATGTGAAGCAAGACAGAGCACTGCTGCAGGTGTCTAGCAGCAGATTTTTTTTATTGGTACATATTATCCTTTAAACCTGAGAATTTGGACTAACTGCACCAAAGAACCTTCTAATTTGGTCCCTTCATGCACACTTGTCAATGTTTTTGTTATTTTACAAGACCTGCATTTTATTTGAATTACCCAGATAGCAATATGTAAAATACAAATGACAAAAACTGATGACAACTTCTTGAACAGTAAAACAGTACAGGTCTGAGGAAAAGGTATTAGAAAAGAATTTATACTTCCTTGAAATATATTTATTTTCTGTTTCTCTAGTGCAAAGAATGTTTCATCAAATGTACATTTTCTGTCTCTATTAATGTTTGCTGTAAGCTGCTGTTTCAAATAAGGACCTCTGAGTAGCTAATTGATTCAAACAGATTTTTTATGTTGATACATTATTACTGCTTTTAGCAGTTGTTTTCACAGGTACTTACAGAGCACATTTCATACATTGTTCATTCAAGGGCTAAATTTCTATCCTTTGGAAATCAAGGCAACTGCACAGAATGTTGCTTACCAGGATGGGGTTTGGTACTTTAGTACTGAAGTTGGGACTATGTTTACATGCAAAAGTTAGGGAAGAAACTCTTAAAGTATGTGGGTATCCAAAGTTCATTTTCTGTGACTCCTCAGAATGACAAAGGATTTGTAAACTTTGCCTGGATTTTTCTCACTTTATAACAATTCCATTCATCACAATGATTTTTGCTCTCTGCTCCATATTCTAATACCTTAACCATTTGATGAAACACTCTTTAGTGCTTATATGCATTTTCTTTTATTAAAAATGTGACAATTGTAAAAAAATGCACTAAAATAATAAATGGAGATTGAACATGTTCATTTTCCAGCTTATAGGCAACTTTATACAGACTTGAAAATTTTCTCCAGTTTAGTAAAAGTGAGAGGGTTTTTCCTGCCACAGGACATGGATATAACTTTTTTTTAAATAACAATAACACACCACTGCTTTTGGTGGAAAAGTACAGACTAGTATGTACCTTTTATGAAGAAAAATGTAATTTACAATGTTCAGTGAGAATGTTACTGCTGATTTTCTCTTTCAAGGTGTAGAATATTCTTTGATTTATAGAATTCATTTTTGACCCAGATGGTGGTTCTTTTACAGACCAATAAAATGGCTAAACATTTTTCACAAAGTATAACTAAATCTGGATATCTGATATCTTGTCATTTGGGGGATTTTATTTTACTTTGTTGCTTTAAAATTCAGTGCAGAGAAGTTGTTGACTGTAGGGGAAATAAAGTTAATTCAAATTTTGTGTTAAGTGTTGTCTTTTGCAAATCTTGTTGTCAAAAAGAAGTTACAGAGTATCTCACGTATCTCCTTTCTACCTCACTTTCATGAAGGTTTTAGAGAACATGTGTGGAAAAATTAAACTTTCTTTAAAATTTTGCCTTCCTTTTACCCTAGAATGAAAATCTTGGTTTGATTTTTCTCAGAAGGTAGAGAAAAGAAACCTAATGAAGAGAAATTTTATTTCCTTTTAAATAAAGACAAATCTAATAAATCCTTGTTCCACAAACTTGTTATATAGTCAGTAGTGTTCATTGTAGAATTTTCTTAATTACACACAGGAAAGATGCGGCCCCCATTTTCTCAGTTTTAGGAAACAATATTTTGGTTCATTGTGTTTTGTCAGCAAAATGCTATATTGTAACTTAAGAACTTACGGTTTTATGAAGAAAGTGAAAATACAATAGTGGGACTACATAGACATAGTAAAACCTTGGATTGTGAGTAACTTGTTCTACAAGTGTTTCACAAGATGAACAAACATTTCTGACAAATTTTAATTGGATAAACAAGTGATGTCTTCAATATAATTAGTACACGATACTGAACATTACATGCTCACAGCTGAGCCAGTGGTTCTCACGCTGTGGGATTATGTGCAATGTCGCATTCTGTGAAATCCTCAAATGGAGGCAAAAGCACGTTGTCAGAATAGATTTCCTTGTTCAAGCTACACGAAAAAGATTTTATTGAGCCAGAAGATTACAGTGATTTCATTAGTCAAAGTTGGCCCACGCAGTAAGCCTCCTCTCTTCTCCCTCACACCACCCATGAAGATTTTCAAAGGTAAGTGCAGGTTTATTTTTATTTATATTTTGTATTTTCGTTATTTTCTATATTACAGTATTGTAATCACTTTTACATTGTGGAACACATTTCTTAGAGGAAAATTTGCTTTGAAATACAAGGGTATAGATTACAATCATTTCTGGAATGAATTACACTCACAAGCCAATGTTTTACTGTAGTTGACTTAGGGTATTCTTTAGATCTCTAAATTTATTTTGTATGTGGTCAGTTACACTGTGTATCACATTAGAATTTAAAGCTTATGACCTTTGAAAGTTTTTTTGTAATGTTAAATGTTACTGTATTAACATTAGCATTGAAGAAGTAAGTCCAAAGACAATTATGTTTTCAGGCCTACAAAGAACAATCATAAAATTGGGTTAATGTTTAAATTGTTAAAAATTGTGACAGTGAAAGGAAAGTGCCGATTCCATTCCCCTTGCTTCAGACAAACTCCATTGTTCTTGACAGTGTCAGTTACTATAACAAGTTTTTTTCAGATTATACTTATTCATGGTATCTTTTGATTACCCTGTGTACATTATTCATTGATTGGGTTTGCAGTTGTAGAGTTTCAGTTCATTTGAGTTACTAAGCCATGGCCATGAGCCAAAGACTTGATAGTATAAAAGTGTCCTGTGCAATATTACTGTTTCAATAGCCAACGCCTATTAAGATCATAAAATTTGGGAGTTACTACCTAAAAAGGTACAAAGGGCTATATAGCTCATTGGTGGTAGCAAGCTTACCTGGCATGTGCAATCTGGACTAAATCGCCGGCACTACAAAATATTTTTTATCTAAAAAGCATGAAACATAAAATTTACCAATTTAACCATTTAAAATATGTAGTGTTTAGTGTGTTTATGTTTCTGTAATCTCTAGAGCTCTTCATGTTACTATAGGTCCTTGGCTTAATGAGGGCTTTACTGGACATCTGCCTTGTTATAATCTTCAACTGACATTGAGAAATAGATAAATACAAGCTTAATGGTTATCTGCAGTTCTGATAAGAAATTTTGAAAACAGAAGTCTGATTATGAAACACAACAGAGGCAGAGGTGTACACTTCAGTGAACTACCAAAGTAGGCAACTGTGTAACCCTGACTCAAGCCAAGAACAGAGCAGTGCCAGTATTCCAGAAATGCCCTAAACCATTCCCTCACTGTTATGCCTCTCACCATTCGGAAAGTAACCACTCCTAGCTTTTCTAGTAGTAATTGCTTTGCAAATTGTGCTTTTACACAGTATCTTTTAAAAACATGTTTAAGTATGCCTATTCTTGGAACTATATAAGTAGAGTAATAGGGTATACATTTTTCGTGCTCAGATTCTGTTGGTCAGTATTTGAGATTTGTCCAGGTTGGAAGCAACTGTTTGTTCATTTTCATTGACATAGTGTTCCGTTGGGTTTCCTCTGTGGCTTATATTCATACCTCCATTAAATAACTGATAGATACTTATAGTTTCCAGTTTGAGGATATTACAAATACAGTAATTTACGGATTATTCTTTCTATTATTCACCTAAAAATGGAATTGCTGCTAGGGCATAAAAGTTTTTGTTGATTTTTACATCCTAATAAATCCTTGTCATTCTGATTAATTTTGCCTTTGTAGAGAATAAATGATTTCTTTTTCTGTGAAGTTTGTCTTCTCCAGCTAACTGAGGTTAGCCACTGAAAAATTCCCTTTTTTAGGTTTAGGGCATATTTTGTTCTTTGTATACCTTATTTATGTATGATACCATCTGTGTTGTGTTGTAAATTACTAGGAATTTTATTACAGTCTAATTCAATCTTTTATATGTGTATGGTGTTCTATGCCTCGTTTTAAATAATCTTTTCCTAATCTAAAATTGTGAATTCACTTTCCTGTTTTCCAGGAAAGTTTACCTTTCATACATAGGTTTTTATGGTCTATCTCCACCTAGAATTCATTGGAGTATAACATGTATATCTAACTGTCCCAGCACCTTGTGCATATGTGTGTGGAAGAAGGAAAGAGATGGAGACTAGATATTGAATACACAGCCTTGCACATGCTAGACAAGCTTTTGTATCACTAAGCTACATCCCTGCTGCTTTTCTGAGTCAGGCTCCGAGTTCCCCAGGATGGCCTGAAACCTGGAATGTTTGCCTCAGCCTCCTGAGTAGCTGGTATTACAGGCCACATGACAACCCAGCACCATTTATTGGGGAAAACAATCTTTCCTGCAGCTCTGAATATCTATTAATCAAATTCCTTAGAACTTTTTATTAGTTGTGTTTATCTTTGTGTGTTGACTTAATATGTAGCTATAATTAAGGTAGTTCTCACCTTGCTCTTTAAAGTTCCCTTGGCTATGCATGAGAACTTTTACTTTTTCATGGAAATTTTGGAATCAGGTTATGTTACACTAAAAAAAAATAGATCTTATAAAAATATTGAAATTGTTTAGTAATCTTGTTTTAACTCATTCTAGTGATTTCAGATCATAAGTTCTCTCTTTGTAATGGTTTATATGTAAATTTCTTGCTTTGCTGTCTTAAGACCTATATCCAGTGCAGTACTACAGAGAGAAGATACCGGCCTTGTTCTGTTGTGTGTCACATAGGGACTTTGATAGTTCATCTTTAAGTGTATTTGATGTAGATTTTCTGTAGATCTCTGATCAAACTAAAAATAGCACTTTTGCTTTTAATCATAAATGGGTTTTGCTTCTCTTTTTTTTCCTCTAGTAAAATGATTCCAAATTTTATTGTTAATATGAATTAGTATCTTTTGTTCACAATATTAAATCAAATGTGTATTCCTGGAATAATGGTCTTTTGTTAGGTAGAAATCACTGCTGAGATCATTTATTTCTGGAGTTTTTTTGTGTAGACTCTTAAAATTATTATTTTACAGACACAGGATTGAGATTTTTTTCATTTGTTTTCTGCTTTTCAAGGAATTCATCTGCTTCATCTGCATTTTCAATGTGAAATTGTTGGTAACTATATCACCTAGTTTGTGTGCTTTTTCTTGTTGGGGAATTCTTTTATATAGTCCTTCGATTTCTTCTTCCCTAATACATGAATTGAAAGTTGCAGATTTATTCCAACCATACTTAAAGCTCCTTTGTCACAAGTTTTGATGTCATTTGTTGTAGTGAATAAATTCCATCGTACTACTTTAAACTGTGGGTCACTGCAGTGTACATTTCATGATTTCCAAATATAGTAGTTTTCTAATACCATACTTTACCTATTCTATCTTTATTATAGTCAAGATACTTTGATACTAATCCTTTCAAATTTGAGATTGCTCTGTGGCTAGTTAGTTCATACATAAAAGGATATAGTTCATTTAACATACTGCTTTCAGGATCATATGGAAATATATTTTAAAATACTGTATATATCATATACAAGCTATTTCACATTTCTGAAAGCAGTATGTTCTTTTGCCAATTGAATGTTTCAGTATGCTGCATATTCTGTTTACTGAGGAAAATTAAAATCGCACATTATTCGAGATTTGTATCCTTAAATTGTGAATTTGTTTTGATCCACGAACATGTACACATTTGGAGCTTAGTGGTAAACTAAAATTTCAGCATTATGGGATGGTCATCCTTTAATAGTATTATATACACTTTTATATGGTTCATACTTCTAATCTATCCCACTTAGGTGATATTTTAATTTTGTGAGACTTTTTAGTTTTCAGTAGTTCTTAAAATTTCATTATCTTGTTAAATATTCCTCCTGCCCTGCTCTCTCTCTACTCTAATTAAACATAATCTGGTTTAGGATTCTCTCTTCTGGGTTTGCATTTTGTATAATTAACTCTCCTTCCTTGAATTATCATTGGTTATAGCAAATCTACTGTTAAATCTATTCATTCACTTTTTGAATCATTTTTCAGTTCCAGAATATCTCTCTTTAATGTACTATGTCTGTGATTTAACCTGAAGTTTTTAAAGTTAGGTCTGATAAACCCAGTATTTCAAGTTTGTTTCTGTTGGGTCTTGTTTCTGTTGCATGATTTTCCCCTTTACTCATTGTAATGATTGTGGAGATTTTTGTGATTCAAGAAATTGGGCAGATTTAGGCCTAAGGGTATTAGTTTGCTTTTCAAAAACTTTCTTTGCATCTGCCTGATACATAGAGAAATTAACAAACCAGAATCATCTTAATCCAGTCTGAAGGGTGCATG